AATAAGTACTATGGATTCCGTCGCACTTCGATAAATATCGTAATCATGAAAAAAAAAATAAAAAAAAATTGAGGGAATCACACAACGAGGTTCGGATTGTGAAAATAATATGAAAGTATCATATGAACTTTATTTTAAAAGTCGAAAATTGTATGCACACGTGCGAGAAATTGTAAATGCAAGATCGAATTACGTCTAAATTAAATGTTACGAGTCAAGTCAAGATTAAACTACATCTAAATTAAATGCTACGAGCCGACGTAATATAAAATTTTAAAAACGCTATCATTTATAAAAACATCTACAAGTGTCCCTGCGTCCCATGAGAACCAAACCCATATAAGGCATTCATTGATGATTCGAAAACAAAAGTTTGTGGCTGTCCCTTCGTCACCACGTTCGAGAACACCAAATTTAATGTATTTCATCCTTACAAACCCACCAACATCTGCCTAGGACTTACAGATTGCGTCACGCACGCAACATGCTACTTGCTCTACCTCATGCCACTTATCAACCTCATGAATTTGACCGGCAATCTCCAAATCGGATCGTCCGTTCTTGTAGAGAAGACGCAGATTGTTCATATTGAGACCATTGATTCTAAGCTTGTTGCAAGAAACAAGCACTACAACGTCTACCAAAGTTCGCTTTCGGTTCGAACATGCCACACACAACACTTTGCAGAGGTCGGAACCGGCCAAAGACAACCTTATGCAATAGTACGACACATTCTGTGACCGTATTCTGGCACCACGCAACAGATATAGTTCCAAAAACGAATTGTAGGACGTACAGTTCAACAACTGTTGTTTCGAATTTGCAGAACACATGCGATGTGACCTCATGACGTTCTCTACGCGAAGGTAAAACCGTTTATTCTCTTCCTGTCTGAGTGCGGCGCACAGGGACGGAAGTTGCCTGCCGCCAATGGCACAATGAGGTACTTTGATTAGGCTCCCCCACTCCATCGCGGAAACAAACTTCTACTCCCTATGCCATGGACATTTCGTTGCCAGGATCGCTCTATCTCATTCTGCCTCGGACCAGACATCGAGAGGTTTGTCTAAGAAGAGAACGACACTCATTCATAGGTCGTTTCGAACTCTGTTGTCATTGGCCCGATAATTTCTATATTGTCGCTCACACCACGCAATCCGCATGCGCAAGGGCGAATGGGGTACGAATAGTCATGCCAATCGGCCATTACTTTTGTCGCACTCCCTACACAAGACGTGACATGCAAACACAAACGAAAATGAACTGTTGGAAAAGTAAAAAAATCGCCTTTACGATCAACTTAACTTCAAAAATTGCTTAACCAACCATCTTACAAAAATCAACCCTAGACCGTGGACAAAATCCGCCACCTTATCGTACCACAGAATCATCGCAATTCACTAACTTCAAAAATAATATGCCGCCTTCCAAATTCTCTTCGAACTATCATTTTAAAAAATCATACTCGCTCACCTATTGGGCGGACGGACAAGACCTATGACATTCACTCGTTGTTTTTGTCCCTTGGATTGACACTCCCTTCAGCAGATGGATTCAGATCTTGAAGTGCAGCTTCTACAATCAGTTGAACATTGGAAGGAATGACAAGTCCAGTCGTGAACGGTTTTGTACCTTTGGCCGGTCTCTCCCAACCAAAGGCGATCGAGTCAGTAAGCTGTCATTGTGTTTGGTCAGTCATTTTCCATCTTAAGTTTTCTCTCATGCGTTATCATACAGTTCTTGGAACGACTTTGCTCTCCTAGTCGGCATCTACTATTCCACTAGCACTTGATTATAATTCTGCAATTTTTTTTCACCAACCACCCGAGAAAGACCGTTGTCCATCCAGATATGCACGCCGCTGGAAATATCATCATCGGAGGGGCGAAGGATAAGAAAAGTTCCCACGTCAACATGCACGAGGGGGTCGAAACTGGTCTTCGGGCGATCTTTTCTTCGTCCAACAAACCGGGGTTCCCTGTCGTCGATGTTGACACTGCCAGGAGAAGATTGTTGATCGCTTTCCAGCAGTCGTGGGCTTGGCCAAAAACTTTTCAGAGGTTGTGAGGACAACCCGTTGATGATGATCTCGCCGCCATGTTTGATAACCTCCTTCCAGTAACACAAACTCTTTCTCTCCTACTCACCTTATGGTCGTTGTAAGTGCACCACGTTGACCGCGTGCTCTCCAGCAACCCGCGAAATCGAATAACATCATTTTTGTCATTATAATAATCATTTTGAAGAAGGTGTTGCACATGAGGCGTGTCAGATGGCCACAAAGGAACTGCATAACTTTCATCGGGGCTTTGATTGAACCAATAAATCGGACCTTCCTCGAGCAACAAGTTATCGTCATCACAAAACTCCAACAGAAAAATTCCCATGAGAAATTAAAGTTGAAAAAACATTCCATAAAAAAAAAAATAAAAAAATTTATAAATTATCATTCCAATCTTTGTCCAAAATTTTCAGTTTTATTTGATAAGTTCCCGGCTAAATATGAGTTTTCCCTTCCAACTACATTGTCATCTATTTGTTCAAGATGGAATGGAAGTCTGGACATGTTTATGAAATATCTTAATTAAACTTTCAGTTTACTACAATAAATATTTTCTAATTTAAATTGGATTAACCTATTTATGGCTGAAAATCCTTACATAGAATGACAGTCCAATTAAAATATTTCATGAACTCATCCAAACTTTAATTTCATCCCTAACACGCAGTTGAAATAAGAAGGGATACCCCATTCTTGAAATGAAAGTTTTCAAGTATGACGAAAAATTTTAAAATTGGAATGACATTTTTTAAGATGCAATGAAAATTTGAAATTTAGAATGTAATTTTACTATTGAATGATTATTTTATTCCGGTAAATTTTTCTGTTATCCTTGTACAGCATGCCCGGATCTAAAGCTCATGTGCATGATGCTGTTTGATTTCTGAAGTTCGCTATTGCTCATCTTCCTTGCATATGTTGTTGCCCCTCTCGTCTTCTCTTCTTCTTCATCTGGTTCCGTGTACCCCTACTACGACATTGGTAAGTTGGCACGTTCGCAGGCCATGTCAGCAGTGACACATCAACAAACCACGTCAACAGGCCATGTCATCAGTGACACGTCAGCAGGCCACGTCAACCGACAGTTGGGCCACGTCAGCAGCAGGGAGTGATGCGTCGGCAGTCCTTCGGCCTGGTCTATGCTCACGCACTCGCAAACAGCCGGCATGGACCAGAAGTCTGGAAAATGGACACGGCCTGTCAGACCCGGATGCTGGCTTTAATTATCGAGGCCAAGCAACGGGCGGATGCAGTAGCAGCTGCAGAGAAGAAGAAGGCGGAGGACGCCGGACAGGCACGTCTGTTGGCAATTGAACAGCAGCGCCAGCACGACGAGGCAGCAACAAAGGCTTCCAATGAAGAACGCAACCAACGACACGAGAAGATCTTTGGCGAGGAGCGAGCTTTGCTCACGATGGCAACGACATGGTGGACCGAGGCCGAAGGTGGCGAATTCGGCGACAACGGGCCTCACATCTCGATGTTGTTGTCCCACTTCACGGACTTGCTGGCAACATGCATTGCACAACAGGCGGACATCCATAGCCTCGACGATACGGTGAAGAACCAGCAACAGACGTTGGATCAGGTGAACAGCCGCCTCCAGCAGCTGGAGCAACGACCCGTCGGCGGCCCCGTCGCCAACTCCTCCAACACTTCCGATTGCCTCGACGCATGATTGGAAGTCGACGTCGGTGCACTCAAGGACGACATGCAGCGACAACAAACCGCAACTCAACATCTTGAGCAGTGGATCGGCACTGCCACCACTCACTCGAGCACCTCACAACGAGAATCGACTTCGAAGTTCGACGGTGGATATCTTCTGCGACGAGACGAAGACGGACCCAATTCCGTGGTTCCGCCAGTTCGAGCTCAAGTTGCAGCTCCACCACGTCCACGAAACGAAGCACCATGTATACTTGTACTCCCGATGAGGGGGCGCGTGCCAAGCGTGGATGGACAACCTCTTGTCCAAGTACGGCGTGGTGGCAACCGACTTGCATACTAAGATCAGTTGGGAAACTCTTAAGGCAGCATGGCATAAGAGGTTCCAGATCGAGCCGCCGGAAATGAAGGCAATGGACAAGCTGATCAAGTTTCACCAAAACATGCTGCCTACAGGTGATTGGATCGCCCAGTTCCAACGCTTGACATCCGTACCAGGCATACCAATGGGCTTTCAAGCCATGAAACACTACTTCATCTCGAGGTCGTGTCCGACATTGTCCACGACGCTGACTCAAGTCGCAGACACGCTCACTACAACCGCGGAGCTCTTCAATAAGGCCACGCATCATTGTCATGAACACGGAGGCCAAGAATCTCTTACCTGCGCCAGGCCTGAGGAGAGAACAACATCGGTCGAAAGTGGTCGTGGTCACGACAGCGACGTCAACCGACCCCTCAAGCAAGGCCGTGTCTGCCAATGAAGGGGACAGACTCACAACCGCTCGGGATGGTGGCCGCCTCGGCAAAGGTCGAGGACGCAGCAAAACGAAGACAAACACCTCATCAAACCCCGGGCCCGACGCAGTAGCTCAAGATCCCTAGACCCACTATGGTCTCTCGGAGAGTGTATACAATATACGCACGAGATTCCGCTATTGCTTGTGGTGCAACAACGATCTCCACGCAACAGTGGGCTGCCCTTTGATGCCTCACGGCAAGGGCAAGTCGGGAAACTGAGCACCGCCGGGAGTGAGTCGACGGCATTCCCGACGCCTTTGGAACCGGTTGCTTTGCAGGCGACCGCCCTTCGTTCCGAGGCACATGCGGAAGTCGATAGTCCTCTTCTTCTATATTCTTATGAGGACTATGCTTCCCGGCTCGTTCCGACGCTGGGTACTCATGCTCAAGGACCAGACGTGTGTGCCGCATCTTCTCAGTCCGGAAGCGGCGACGTAGCGTCTTCAAATGGTTCTTCACGGGATTCGGCGCGCGAGTTCAACATAGAGGTATTGGACCCACTCATGCCAGAGGATTTCGCATGGCTTCCTCTCCTGACCACGGGCCGCTTGCCGGGACCGCAATGCGCAGCGCTATGCGCCACACATACTTATCCTTCTATGCACCACCAACTTCGCCGACGGATGACGAAGCTCCGATGGGGGACATCCTTGCATATGTTACCAAGGTGGCCCGCGAGTTTTGCAAGCGGCGGTACGATGACAACAACTCACCGCTCCTCTATGTCCGCATCCAAGTTGGGCAAGCATCCTGCAGCGCTTTGCTGGATAGTGGTGTGTCTCGCAATTTCATGAGCCAAGCCTTTATGCAAAGGGCTGGCCTCATCGCACAAGTTCGAAGGAAGGCAAACCAAATGGCAATCAAGTTGGCAGACGGAAAGACACAGGAACTTCGCAACCGCTATATCGAGGCTGTCCCGGTATATTTCGCACCTCATGCATGCGAACTGGTGACGTTCGACATTTTGGACATGAACTTCGACATTATCTTGGGAATGTCTTGGCTTGCAAGTGCGGATCATATGGTCAACTTCTACCACAGGACTCTTACCGTCCGGGACGTCTTCGGCACCGAAGTGCCGTGTACTATTCTTTTTCCGCACCCTTCGATCCGGTGCCAAGTGATGACGTCCAAGTCATTCCGGGCTACTTGCGCTTACGAGCAGCCCGACGAGATAGGCCTACGCTTCCTATGGACCGTTGCGGTAGCCGACTCTTCCCCCACGGACTTGTCTTCGGACCCCTGTGTGGTGTGGTTGCTTGACGAGTTCGCCGAAATCTTCGAGTCACCTACCGGTGTGGTGCCGGATCGGCCGATCTCTCACGAAATCATTCTTGAAGCCGGTGTCGTGCTGCCGAAAGGTTGCATTTATCGCATGAGTGAGGAGGAGTTTACGGTCCTCCGCGCCCAACTCGATGACTTGTTGGACAAGGGCTGGATGCTCCCTAGTAGCTCCCCATATGGAGCGCTAGTTCTCTTCGTACGGAAGAAGAACAAGGATCTACGACTGTGCATCTACTACCTAAAGCTCAACGCGCAAACCGTCAAGAATGCGGGGTCTCTTCCTCGAATTGACGATTTGCTTGAGCGATTGGGCGGCGCGAAGTACTTTTCGAAGTTGGATTTGACGTCGGGATATCATCAGATTTCGATCCGGCCGAACGATCGCTATAAAACTGCGTTCAAGACGCGCTATGGGCATTTTGAGTGGGTTATTATGCCTTTTGGCCTCACCAATGCCCCGACGACCTTTCAATCGGCAATGACCAACGAGTTTCGTGCGATGTTGAACCGGTTCGTGCTGGTCTACTTAGACAACATTCTCGTCTATAGCCGGATATTGGAGGATCATCTTGAGCACCTTCGACGAGTGTTGGAGATGCTCGGCCGCGCCAAGTACAAAGTCGACCGCGATAAGCGTGAATTTGTCCGGCAAGAGCTGGAACACTGTGGCCACTTTGTCACACCAGAGGGCATAAGCCCGTTGTAGGACAAGATTCAAGCCATCCAGGAGTGGCCAGAATCGCGGAACGTCACGGGCGTCCTTTTGTTTTTCGTCCTTGCCGGCTACTACCAACGTTTTATCAAGGGATACTCGAAGATCGCGGCCCACTTGACCAAGCTTCAATATGAGGATCGACCATTCGACTTAGGGGCGAACGCGCGGGAGTCATTTTTGACCCTCAAAGTTGCGTTATTAACTTATTATTCGCGGAAGTCTTGCGCATATACGACCTGCTATTACCAACGCGCGTCACTACGGATGCGTCTGGCTATGACATTGAAGTCGTCCTCGAACAACACGATGGCGTGGACTGGCACCTTGTTGAGTACTTCAGCAAGAAAGTGTCCGTTGTGCACTCCATTGATGATGCACGCAAGAAGGAACTACTAACCTTCATCCACGCGCTCAAGCGGTGGCGGCAGTTCCTCCTTGGTCGAAGTCAATTCTAATGGGTAACGGACAATAATCCGTTGGTCTTCTACAAGACCCAAGACACCGTCAATAGCACGACCACCCGTTGGATGGCTGTCATCGACCAATTCGACTTCTTTCCCGATCACATTCTGGGGAAGTCTAACCGTTTTGCGGATGCTCTTTCATGGCGTCCGAATCATTGTACCGCAGTCTATTCGACCTTCGAGATCGACGACGACCTGCGGGACAACTTCATCCGCGACTACCAAGCCGACCCCGAGTTTCGCGACAAGTACGCGAATTGCTCCTTTCCTAATCCGGCGCCTTCTCACTACCGGATCCAAGAGGGGTACTTGCTCGTCTACACGTGGGGGAAGGACCTTCTTTGCATACCGAGTGACTCTAACTTGTGTACACGGCTTCTTTGCGAGTTCCACGATGCTCCCCCCACCGGACACATTGGAGTCAATCGAATGATTGGCCGAGTTCGCGAGCGTTTTCGGTGGCTTGGCCTTCTCGGCAACATCACACGCTATTGCGAGTCATGCGAGGTTTGCCGATACTGCAAGTCCCGCAATCATGGTCCGTACGGCGAGTTGCGACCATTACCGGTCCCTTTGCGCCGAAGGGAAGCGATTGCCATGGACATTACCGGGCCGTTCCCCAAGCACAAGACCAGTGTGGATGGGATTCTCACAGTGGGTGACCGACTCACCAAGTTCGCCATGTTTTTGCAGTGCCGCTATCATAGCAAGGCACCGGAGTTGGCCGAGGTTCTTTACGCTGGTTAGATTCGAACCAAGGGTTACCCCAAGGAAATCGTTTGTGACCTCGAAACTCGGTTCATGTCCGATTTTTGGTTGGCGTTCATCAATCGATGGGGCTCATCTCTCAAGCCTAGTTCGGCTCGCCACCCCCAAACCGATGGCCAAACGGAGAGGGCACATCAGACCGCACAGGGTCTCCTTCACACTCTCATCCGTTCCGACCAAAAGGATTGGGATGAGCGGCTGTCGGATGTCGAGTTGGCATACAACTCGTCCATCCACCTGGCTATTAGGATGTCGCCCTTCGAGTTCGAGCACGGCTCGTCAGTCACTTCTCCGTAGGACACAATCATTCTACGAGCGTCCGAGAGTGACGACCATCTTCTCTTCTTGTGTCGGATGCAAGAGCTACTTGTCAAGGCACGCGACCAGATGGCTAAGACGCAGCAACGCATGAGCCAACAGGCCAATCGCCAGCGTATTCCTTGTCCATTCCGCGCCGGCGACCTTGTTTGGGTTTCCACCGCATAATTCAGCCTCGAACAAGATATCTCTCGCAAGCTCCTCCCGAAATGGATGGGGCCCTGACCGATCGTGACACCCGCTGGGGATGCACTCGAAGGACCTTCCTTCATCATTCAGGTGCCCGCCCACTTGCCCGTCTACCCAGTCTTTCATTGCTCCAAGTTGGCTCTTTACACGCCAGCGGAACACAACGACTTTCCCCGACGACGATCGCAAGACCCACCCTCTATGGACGGTTTTCAAGAGGTTGGCGACATCATGTCCCAGCGACGCTACGGCAACAGGCCGACCGAATACTTGGTACACTTTGCGTACTGCATCCACAAAGCTGACTGTTGGTTGACCCGTGGCACTGCGGAACTCCAAGCAACAACTCCGGATGTTCTCGCACGCTGCGAACGCAAGATGCAAGGCAAGCCGGTATCTTCAGCTCCACGTCACACCCGCGTCCAGGTTCCACCTTCGGATCGTCAGCTTCGCCCTCGACCCGGCTTGACTTCATAAGGAGGGGGGGGTGTTACATGCTGCGCCTGCACACGTGTCCCATTTGAGAGGCCCAACTGTTGCTGAGGGGCCCCAGGCCGCATGCCAGCAGACATGCACCCTCGAGGCCCATGGCGGCCCCCCAGGCCGCAGATTGCAGATATAGGTGTCAATATTTATTTATTTATTTATTTACTTAGCTGTTGTCCTGTTGCTTGCCGGTGCAGACATCGTTTCGGACTTGCAGACCCCAAGGCAGCGCCTTGGGCCAGGTAGAGAGGGACGAGGCCCTTCCGAAACCAGGCGCGTTTTGGCGCCTGACTCAACGGTACCGACGCCGTTTCGGACTGCAGGCACCAAGGCAGCACCTTCGGCCGGGTACACCGAAACGAGGCCGGACCAAGACCAGGCACGTTTTTGCGCCTGCTGCATCAGCAGCATGGTCTGGACGTCCAGTAGGGACCCAGACCAGCTGGGCCGTTTGAGGCCAGCACCAGGCAGACTCAGCCTCGCCCAGCGCTACTTATAGCTGGGCTGAGGTTGGGCTGAAGACAGTTCGGGTAGCTCACTTCTCGAGCGACACGCTGCTGGACCAGCACTGCAGCTTAACGCTGCGCTGAGGACTAGAGGTAGGGGAGTAGGTAGGAGAGGGCGGAGGTCATACCTGCGGACGGCGGACTTACCTGGCGCCATAGCTGGGACTCCGCTCGCGACCTGCACAAGACAACAACCACGCGGCAGTCAGCATACGCCGGCCTTCCTGCAGGTGAGGTAGCAGGGAAGATGGTCTCTTCGTCTCCCCTCCATCTCTCTCTCTCTCTCTCTCTCTCTCTCTCTCTCTCTCTCTCTCTCTCTCTCTCTCTCTCTCTCTCTCTTCTTCTTCTTCTTCTTCTTCAGATACGAGAGTGAAAGAGGTTACAGGCAGAGGATACAGACAGAGGTTACAGCGGGCACTCCGCCCAGGGCCTGATTCGACATTTCTGAGGCAGACATTGATTGGACATCGGCAAGGGACTATTTTTGGACTTCGCTATTGCGATCTGGGTTTCCTGCCGCGCCTCCAGCTTCGTCTCTCCTCTTCCCCATCTCTCATTTGTGGTACCTCCCCATGTGTGTGTGCAAGGAGGGACCTTTCTTCTTTGTGTGCGGTCTCTCCTCCTTCTCTCACATCTGTGATGTATGATGGGATGTCGTGTCAGTCCCGGTCAGGTCAGGACTTATCTTAAAGTCTTCCGCTACGCTACTATGTCCCATTTTGTATGTATCAGGGTGTACATTGCTTGTTGAGATTCAACTGACATTGCATTGTCCATTCAGAGAGAGAGTGTTACATGCTGAGAGAGAGAGAGAGAGAGAGAGAGAGAGAGAGAGAGAGAGAGAGAGAGAGAGAGAGAGAGAGAGAGAGA